GAGGGAGGGAAGGAAGGAAGGAAGGAAAAGAAAGGAAAGGAAAGAAAAGAAAAAAGAAAAGAAAAGAAAAAAAAGAAAAGAAGAAAAGAAAGAGAAGAAAGTTAGTTTAGAATGTCCATATGAGACAAATGGAAACAATAGGTTAGGTCATGTTAGTGCTACTCCCTGTTGAGGATGTGTCTTTTCTATTTTGTGTATTTGATTTGGTTAAAAAAGAACTGATTTATATTGTTTATTGTTCCCTCTCTTTCATCTTTCATTTTTAATTGTTTTTACTGAGCTTGTGAATTTGCTTTTTATCTGACGTGATAATCTTTTGCTCTGTGGACCTTCTCCATAGTACTTGGGACAGAACCTAATATAGTTAGGTACAAATGTAATATTATATAGTTGGTACAGTATACCATATTAGATTATACATACTCCATTACTAATTACTGAAATAGTATGATATAATACAGTAGAGTTGCTGTATATTTATTACAACCTAATATAGTGAGGAAATATAAATTAGTAAATATGTGTTAATTTACTTTTAGCTGAGGGTTTTTTAAAAGGCAAAGCCACATTTCTTGATCCTTTGAGTGGAATTTCAGAATACTTCCAACAAATTCTTTGTTAGATTGTTTCCTTTTTTTGTTGGGGAGGGGGGAACACATGGCCTGTAATACCATCTTTTGGAATTTATGGTTATTCTCAAATTCTACCTGTTAACTTCTTTGTGACTTTTCTAAGTCTTCATTTTCATTAGAAATCTGTGGGATAGAATTCTTCACATTTTTATTTCCTTCTAGGATACTATCTGGTGGTCACTGAAGGTAGTAATCATTTTCATATTTGAAAGCTTTGCCAGTGATGGTTTGAAACTGATTTAAAAGTCATTTAGATTTTCCTCCTGGTGATCTCACTCCAAGTCGAAGAGTTGAACTTGCTGTATTTTGCCATATATAATGTGTACTTTTTGCCCAAATTTTTGAGGGAAAAAGAAAGATGCACATTATACATGGATATAATTATTACATACCATGGGTATGTAATATAAAGTTGTATGTAGATGGGTATGTATGTATAAAATATTTTTGAGTAAGCCATTCAAAATGCGGATATCATAATGGTTAACCCCTAAATATATCAGTATTTATTTAAATCCTAAATGCATAAAAACCCTTATACTATTGTCTTATACAATACCACTATTACATATAAAGCAGTTATAATTCTATAATGTCATGGATAGTCTATATGTAGATTTCCCCAGTTTTTCCCAAAATGTCGTTATAACTAGCTTGGGGTTTTGTAGAATTCAGACCATTTGTCTTATACAGTTTCTGGCATTCTGGCATTCTAATTAATCGCTTCCTCATGATCAGATATAGGATGTACAAATGATACTACTTACATGATATTATAGCCTTGACATTGCCTCACACCGGTAAGCACAGTTAGTTTGTGCCACTGTGGATTGAGCAGTATGCCTGATCCCTTGGTGAAGGCGGTGACCATGAAACCTCTTTATTGTGAAAGGAAGTTTTTCCTTCTGTAACTAACTGGTAATCTGTAGGATATTTTGAGTCCATGAGAATATTCTATTCCCCATAAACCTTTCATCAAATGACTTTAGCATCCATTGATGATCCTTGTCAGGAATTAATGATTACCTTGGAAGTTGTAAAACAATGGTTTTCTACTTCTGTCATTCCTTCTACTTTTACTAACTGGTATTGTTTTATAAAGAGGCTTTCCTTTTCTCCCCCCGCCCCCTTCAAGGGGTGTGTGTGCACACTCTTGAACATACACATACTCACATATAGAAGGTTATAAGGCCTTGTCATTGTTCTTTTATGTTCAGATTTTCCCAGCTCTGGCCATTGGGAGGTTTCTGGAAGTTGGCCTCTGTGACCTTTTGAGCACTTGCTTGTTTTCTGGCTTAGGAAGATGGATGCCTCAGGCTTGTTTTTTTACTTTCTCTGCCTTAGTTCTAGAACCAGCCATTTCCTCAAGGTACTCTGTTCTTTATAATAGAAAACTTAGAAACCAAGGTTTAGCTTGGTCACCCATTGCTCCAGGAGTTCTGTTGCTTCTGTGCTCATTCAAGGGACAGAACTTAAAAAATATTACAGAAATAATATAGGAAATAATGTTTTTTGAGGATCATGAGTTTATATTGATTTGTCTAAATCAAATTGAACATTACTTAACATATTAGTATCTCTTCTACAATAACATTTTGGTAGTTATAAAATTAATATATTTACTCATTTCCTTTATGCTGCAATATAAACAAAATGTTTCAGAATTATAATAATATTACTACTAACAATAGGAACACCAAGGAAAGCTGAAGATTTGTTTGCAGTTATTTTTGTTGTTAGAAATTAGGTTTATTTCCTTTTTTTGTATTAAGTTTCAGAGTTTCTTTTGAAATTTTTAGCCTTTAATATATAAAACAATGGCAGTTCAAGTATACAAAAAATTATACTCAGAGAAGTCTTTCTCCTTGGACCTCTCACCCTGCTCCCACCCAGCCCTTAATAGGTAATTGTTTTTTATTATTTTCCACTTTATTCTTCCTGTGTTTATGTTTGCAAAAAGAAACCTATGTATACTTTTCTCCTATTCCAATACGTATTCTTTTATTTCTGTTTCTCTTTCTGGCACCAATGGTTTCATTCTTATATATTTCTTTTGCATCTTGCCTTTCTCAATTTTTTTTATGGGTATAAAATACTTGATCACATAAATGTACCATCATTGATTCAAATAAAACTTCTGTGTATGGGGATTTAGTTGTATCTAATATTTTGCTCCTATAAATCCATAAATAACCTGTGCTTATGTTGTTTTGTATTTGGGGGGGCGGTATCTTCAGAGTAATTTTATAGAAGTGGGATTGCTGGGGAAAACATGTCATTTTGTTAGTGTCAATCTTCCAACCTGAGGGTGGTGCCATTTGACACTCCCACCAGCATGGCACCGCCAGTGTCTCTTAACCACTCCAGCAGTGTGCTCTCAAGCTTTAGCATTTTTGCTACTTCTGTTAGATGAAAAGTGTTATCTCAGTGGTTTTAATTGTACCTTTCTTATTATAAATACATTTGAGCCATAGTTTTTCATTTTTAATGTAGTTTAATTGGTCGATTTTTTTTGCTTCTGAATTTTGAGTCATAGTTAAGAAAGACTGCATATTTACATTATAAAGGAATTCACCATGTTGTCTTCTAGTACTTGGTTTGTTTCCATCTTCTTTGTTTAGTTCTCTGACTCATGTAGAGCTTATTCTAGTGTATGGTTTGAGGGTTAGATCCAGTTTTATCTTTTTCCCATGGTGTTTACTCACATCACTTATTAAAAAGTCCACCTTGTCTCCTTCAGAGAAGAAAGGGAGAGGTATCCCTGGTTTTAGAAAGAAAAAGTTCACAAAATTAACACTCTGATATTTAACTTTTCTAGTGTCAATTTTATTGGCCAAAGCTTCAGTGGGAATGAAGCTTGACCTAGAGACACAGCTGGGCTCCTAATATAATTGAATTTGAATCCCCCCAAATTATAGGCACTACTTTCAGGAGCAGAACGGGGTCCAGCACACTTACCGTGTGAAGGAGAGAGCAAACCCTGGCTGGGAACAGGCTCTCCGGAAGACAGCGCAGTGTTCACTGGAGGTGCCAGTTCCCTTACCTCAAGGCCACAGACTTTTCATCTGACATTGTTCAACAAAAATGAGCATTTACTTAGTTTGGGTGGGTGGGTGGGTAGGTGTCTTTTTGTTTGTTTGTTTTATATTTTTGCTTTTAATTGTGAGAAGGGCTATTGGAAAAGACAAAGGGCTAAAGCAGTCCTCAGGTGGCAGCAGTGGTGCTCCTTAAGAGGTAAATAAAGGAAGGACATTTGGGGGGGAGAGACAGAGAGAGAGGGAGGGAGGGAGAGAGGGAGGGAGGGAGAGAGAGAGGGAGAGAGAGAGAGAAGGGGGGGGAGAGAGAGAGAGATTTGTCAGAAGCACTGGGGATATCACTGGCACAGATTTTTATTGTAGAAAAGAGCTAAGGATGTTTAATGCCCTGCAGTATAGGGGAAAGTTTCCTGCAATGGAGCTCTGATACTCAGAGTGCCAGTAGCATCCCCACTGAGAAACAGACATTTGTGAGAACTGTTTGGGAAAATAGTTTAAAAACCTCTCACAACTTGAGGAAAATTTCAGAGAGCAGCCAGAAAAATTGGTGGGTGTCACTGTGGGTGAGTCTTAGAGCTGCTCTTTTCACTCTTCTGTCTTTGATATTTGCACTCCCAGCTCGGAGTTAGAACGATTGCTCTGGATACCACAGAAGTTGGATAGGAGCAGCTCTAGTGTTCCTTTAAAAAAAGAGGGATTATTTTGTGTGTGGTATCACTTTCACATTTGACATGACAGTAGTTCCCCTTTATCTGCATTTTTGCTTTCCACACTTCAGTTACCTGTAGACTCAGTCTGAAAATATTAAATGGAAAATTCCAGAAATTGCTGTCCTGCCTCATCTCATCCAGCATATTCATCATCCCTTTGTCCACACTGTATTTGCTCCCACTCATTAGTCCCTTAATATCAGATCCATTGTTGAGGTATCACAGTGCTTGTATTCAAGTAATCCTTATTTTACTTAGTTATGGCCCCAAAGCACAAGAACAGTGATGCTGGCAGTTCAGATATGCCAAAGAGAAGCTATAAACTTCATCATAGGTATGTATGTATAGGGGAAAACATAACATATGTAGGATTGGGTACTCTCAGTGGTTTCAGTCATCTACTGAGAGTCATAGAACTAGGGACTACTTTTGTTAACAATTTTTTTTTTCTTCCAGAGGAATTGTATGTGGTAACTTACTCTTTTAGAAAATTTTGAAATGAGATAATGTATATGAAACTCTTAGTGTGATGTCTGGCACATAGTAAGCACTTAATAACTGTTAATCATAAGATTAACTAGTTTTTATAACAATTGTTAATGACCCTTTATGTATGTTTTCAGAGAGCTATTGCTTATCTTTTCCCCAGTGGTTTATTTGAGAAGCGAGCCAGGCCAATAATGAAGGTAATTATCTAAATTAATATTTTTAAAAATTTCACTTAGTTTTATATGTTACAATAATTATCTGATGCACTTTTAATTTCTTTTACAGCATCCTGAACAGATTTTTCCTAAACAAAAAGGTAAGTTTGCTCAAGAAAGAAGTAAACAGGTTTTTTTTTGCTGTACTGTTATATATTAGCAGTCATTCACATATAGAGATGAACTCTCATATCATGATGGTCATGTAGAAGGTAAAAAAGTTTTTTATAATAGATTTTATGACTAATTTTTTTTAATTAAAATATTAAAATTAGATCAGGTTAGAGGTTATGCTTATACTAATGTCACACTAATTTATTTGCATTCTAATGTGCCTTTGTGAGGAAGAGTTTGGTACAGATATGCTGGAGAGAATTAAAAATCTCTGTTCTGCAAAAGATGCTGTCAAGAGAATGAAAAAAACAGGCCACAGAGTGGTAGAAGATATTTGGGGAAGAACTATCTAATAAAGGACCGTTATCCAAAATATACAAGGAACTCTTAAAATTCAGCAATAGAAAACAATCCAATTTAAAAATAGGCCAAAGACCTTAACAGACACCTCTCTAGAGAGGCTATATACATATGAAGAGATGCTCCACATCAGGGAAATCCAAATTAAAGCAACAGTGAGATACCACTACACACCTGTTAGAATGGCCAAAATCCAGAACACTGTTCTGGCAAGGTTATGTAACAACAGGAATATATTGCTGGTGGAAACGCAAAATGGTGCAGCCACTTTGGAAGACAGCTTGGCAGTTTTATAAAACTAAGCATATCTTACCATACAGTCCACCAGTTGTGCTCTTTGGCATTTACCCAGAGGAGTTGAAAACTTAAGTCTGCACAGAAACTTGCACACTGATGTTTATAGCAGCTTTATTCATAATTGTCAAAACTTGGAAGCTGTCCTTTAGTTGGTGAGTAGATAATTAAATGGGTATATCCAGATAATGGAATATTGTTCACAGTGAGCTCTCAAGTCACAAAAAGACATGGAGGAAACTTGAATGCCTGTTACTATGAGGGAAAAAATCCATTCTGAAAAGGTTACATATATGGTTCCAACTATAGGACTTCCTGGAAAAGACAAAACTATGCAGACAGTAAAAAGTCACTGGTCACCAAGAATTAGGTGGGGAGGGATGGATGAATCGGTGGAGCAGAGAGAATTTTTAGGGCAGTGAAACTGCTCTGTGTGATACTATAATGGTAGACACATGTCTGTATAAATTTGTCCAAACCCGAGAATGTACAAGACCATGAGTGAACCTTATGTAAACCATGGACTTTGGGTAATTATGATATGTCATTGTAGGCTCATCAGTTACAACAAATGTACCACTCTGACGGGGGTGTTGGTAATGGGTGAGGCTCTGCATGTGAGGGAGCAGGTGGTATATGGTACATCTGCGTATCTTTCTCTCAGTTTTGCTGTGAACCTAAAATTGCTCTAAAAAATAAAGTCTATTTAAACAATAATAAGAGTGTATTACTAGTGTAATTAATGTTCTAAAAAAACAGATAACCAAGGAGGCATTATCAAGAGAGAAGAGCTAAAAATACAAATAAAACTCATAAAAATATGTACGTGATTTATATAGAAAATTATAAAATTTAAAATTTAATCATAAGTAAAAATTAAATAGCTGGAAAGTGATTTCATGATTGTATGAGGAAAGATTGAAAGCTACTTTAATATTATTTCAGTCAAAGTCCTGGTAGGTCTTTTGGGAGAAATTTTTAAAGTTTGAAAGAGTAAATGTGCAAGAAGCAGCAAGAAGTTTTTTAAAAGAAATAAGAATAATGAAGGAAGCATAGCCTACTAGATATCAAAATGCAGCAAAAAGCTGATTTTAATTAAATGGCAGTGGTGGTGCAGAATAGATCAAATTAGAGTATTCAGTGTCAACATTTGTTTATGCCATATTTTGTAAATTCTAAGACATGGTTTTTCAAATTTTAACATCTTTGACAACAGGATTCATTATACAATTAATGTCAGCTATGAAGTGTGCTGTCAGCTTTTTCTTTGTAAAAGATACATGATGGGGCATCTTAAAGTCTGTGACACCTTAGATTTAATGAAATCAAATGTGTGTATATATGTATATATATGCATATACATGCATACTTTAGAAATCAAGTATACACAAACACACACTTCACATGAAATGAGACCAAACTCAAAAATTCCTCTAAGCTTTACAGTAAACTCTTATCTGCAACAACGATGTTTGTCTTCCTTGGTCACTTTCTAACTGACAGCTTTAATAATACAGTGAAAATTGATTGTATAGTAAAGTTATAAATATTGGAAAATATGCAGGATTTCATGAAGTCTAGGAAAATGATGTTGGAGAAGTATTTAATTCTTCCATAAGTCATTGGCAAATAAGAATCTTGTTTTGCTTTTTCAAGCTAAACTCCCTATCAGTGCTCCCTCCTGCCCCCTGCCAGTTACTATGAAGTTTTGGTCTTTTTTCCTTTAAGTATGGTTACTTAAAATGGCCCATGGTTAATGCCAGTTATCCTCAGAAGGGAAAGATTACCTACATATTGTGCAGGTGGTATAACAGAAAGAATGTAGTACTTAAAAAACTAATGGGTAACAACTCACTTTCCTGGAGAAAATACGTGGATTTCTGCCTCAAAAATATAAATTCCAGATATTAAATTTCTGAACATGAAAACAAAAATGTAGAAGAAAACATAGGAAAATAATTTTCATAAAGCACAAGGCCTTTCAGGCATGCTTTCTCAATGCAGTGATGTTGTGTCCAAGAGGGCATAAACTGATGCAGAAGAAGTGAAAAAATTTCAACTATTACAGTGTTTTGGCCCTCAACCCATATGCAGTATGTCTGAGGTATTAAAATTTCATGGGGAAGGAGGCAATTCGGGGGAAAAAAATCTCTAAAAGGCTCCTTTATAGGATAGATAATGAAAAAAAAAACAGTTGAGAAACACTGCAATAGAAGAAAAGTGAGAGATTCTACAAAAACATATGTTAAACTCTTGATTATGAAAGACACCCTAAACAAAATTTAAAAAGTAAGTGACAGATGGGGAGAAAAGAATTTACAATTTATGTGATAGACAAAGGAATGTTATCTTTTAACAAATTAGAGTTCCTACAAATTGTTTACAGAGAAACAGCTCAGTAGAAATATAGGCAAAGGGCTTGGAGTTAGTGTTTGGTCTACTTACTAGAGACTCCATTTCTCAGTTTATTTGGTGTTTATTAGATGTGAATGACCATCTGTATTTCAAAAGGAATTACACATAACACCTTTTAGGGGACCCTTCTGTTTTAGATGTTTTAAATTCGGATATATGTCATCACAGAGTTGAAACAAATAATGTGTCATGGGAAAAGCCCTTTAGTGTTTTTCTTTACTATGTTATGCCTGTTTCTAATTTTCTGAATAAATTACATAATTGACTTTATCAGTTTTTGTTTTTAAGAATATGGGAGTGCATTGTATTTACAGCCAAAACTAAATTTTTTTGCCCTAAGAGGATGATTTTGTCTGTTTTATGAGTATTTATTTAAAACAAGTTATAGAAATTCTCATGGTGAGATATTTAGGAATAGTTTCTTAAATATAAACATTGTTTTATGTCAGTGAGTATTAAGTACCCTTGTTACATGCTAAAAACTAAATATTGAAATTCTAAATGTTAATGCTTTTTTGTTATTTTAAAAGTTAATCAGAATTATAAATGTCTCATAACTCCAGTTAAATACATCTGTTTGGTCTCTCTCTGTATATTTTATTTTTGTTTATTTGTTTTCATCTGGCTTTTTATTAGCAATCCAGTGGGGAGAAGATGGTCGTCCATTTCATTTTCTCTTTTATACTGGCAAGCAGTCATATTATTCATTAATGCATGTAAGTATATTATATTTTATGATAAATAATATGAACTATAAGCTAAGTAACTGAGTTTACCAGAGATTTTGCTAAACTACACAATTTACCTAGTATGTTTCATAATGGACAAAAATAAAACTTCTGGAGGTGAGACAATATGTCGAACGGCTTTATATTTTATTAGTCCATTTTTCTAAAGGTAAACAGAATTTATAACAGAATGGTTTGTCCTGAAAATGCTTTTTCTTACAAATTGAAATCATGTTAGCAGATAGAGATACTCAAGCATAGTTCGTGTATGTGCAATCCAGGTAAAACATGAAGCAGGGAGGGGCCCAGTTTATTTCCTGTCAGGGGTTGTAAGGCACCTTGGGAGAGAGTTAGATAGTTAACTGTACTTTCTGTTATGCAGATACAGTTGTTAACTTTTTATAGGCCAGTGCAGTGTTTGAGTCTAGAAAGTCTAGAAAAAACACCTAAGAAATGATTTTATTACATGTAGACTTCCAACTGCAATTGGGTGTACTGGGAAGTTTCAGTTTCAGAACTCTTAAAGTATTTGATAGTGCGCAAATATGGGAGTTTCCTGTTGTAACTATGGGAGAAAAACCTGGATGCTAATATCCAGTTTTAAGCAACAGAACCCATTTTATTCTTAAATGTGTCAAGTTTTATTTTATTCATTGTATAATTTTTAAAATATTCACTGGGTTTCCTCATTCACAGTCAGATTTCAGGTTGTTTGAACCCCATACACACACATTTCCTCTGTGTTTTAGAACTGTCTGATGTTTGTTGGTGCTCCACAAACCCAAAGGGACAAAATGCCCATTTGTCAGGTGCATTTATTTCTTGAGGGGAGGGAAAAAAAAGAAAACCTTCTTTTTGTTTTTGTTGACCTTGGGCAAATGAGCTTCTTGCCCTGGCAGAAATGAAATGAATGATAAATGTAGAGTGTGTGTCTTTGCTGAGTAATGGAGCTGAGGTTCAAGCTTTCCACCGAGGTTTTCTCTGCACAGCCCGAGGCTGCCCAAGGACCCCTGCTGTTCATTTAAATAGGTATGTCAAATCTGCCTGCAAACGCTGCTGGTTTGATCTGTGGTAGTATTTGTGAAGGTTCCATATGGACCTAAGCACCCTGCAGTGCCAAGAAATAATGTACAACGCTTCATGGTGCAAACGCAAATTTTCTCCGAAAAGGGATGCAGTGCTTCTGTTTTAGCTGTCGGAGGGGATGATGGAGCTGACGCGCTAGGCCTGTCAACTTGTTACACGGATGGGTTGCACGCAGCGAAGCCATGGAAAATCTGTGCCTGTTAACTTTTCTACTTAATCACGGTTGTAGCATTGCCTTTAGACTGTATGCTACATTAATTCCCTTCCTGCCTTCTGCCTTTCATCCCAAGTTTCACGGAAAAAGGAAAGCATGCAGGTCTTGTAGAGGAGCCTTATCAAACAGCTGTCATCTGACAAGCCATTTGCATTTGTTTTGGCTGAAACTGAGCAACCCAAGGGCATGATATTTTGTTGCATTCCATCATAATGAAGAAATTACACATTGCAGGAGAGACCTAACTTTATTTTTAGTTTGTTTATGTCTTTTAAAAGGTATTGCTCAAAAAAATGGTCGGTTTCTCAGTGAATAAAATATTAGTGTACTCTGACTGAAAAACCGTTATATCTCATGAATAAACGTTCGTTCTTTTTGAGTAATACAGTTTTTCTTCTATATAGGACTGTTCTTTGGGCTTTTATGTTTTAGCTAAAATTTAGAAATTTAGGTCAGTTTATTTTGCTGGGTGTTTTGACTCCACAAACTATATGGGGTTTAGCATTTGTTTTATTCCTCATCAGAACAGTTTACAAATAGGAATTACAGCTATTTAGGGTTCATTTGAGTATTTTAATTCAGATAATTAATAAAACCTTGTATTTTCAAAAATGTGTTTTATAGGATTTTAAAATAATTATATGTGTGGGGGAAAGGATAAATGTTTTCCTAAATATTTGCCAATAACTTTAGCTTCAGTTTTCAATTGTTATTAATTATAACTATAGTCGTACCAGTCTCATTTCCTAGATCATGCAAACCATCATCCTAGATTGTTTACTTTGACATAGTATGTGACTCACAAAAGTGGTTTTGTAGTGAAATCAAGCATTGGATATAAAGTAAAATGGTAAAAATTGAAAGTGCTTCATGTGTGTGTTCTCTCCTTTTTCTTGGTGGTGGGGGCTGCTGTTTCCTTATATATGTGACAATGAATCCACTACTGTCCTTCCACTGCAGCAAGGAAATTGGCCCCCAAAGACTGTGGTGGCCTTTAAATACTTGGAAGTGAATGGTTGTTGTTATCATTTCTTTTTGTTAATAAAATTTCTTCCCTTGTGACAGGATAAAAGACACTGAGCCAAATCAGTTTTCCCCATGTCGTTGATTAACTGTAATTGAGATGTGGCACTCATCAACCAGGCATTTTGACAAAAATACACAGATGTAGAGCATGTGGGCATTTCTGCCAGATCCTTCTGATATCAGTTACCCTTTTTGTCTTCTATGCCAGATCTTCTTTTTATTATTTGGTCACTGTTTGCATATTAACCTTATGTATTACATGATAGCAACTAACAAAAGATAGTCCTGATGCAGCTTACAGTTTTGGATACTATATAATGCTTTAGTGAACACTTTCCAATTGACCCATCTAATTTTTGTAGAGAAGCAAGAAGATTTTTGAGAGAAGATGAAGATGAGAAGGAAGAAGCAATTTATTGTCCCTGCCCAGAAATGAAATGTGATAGGAAAGAATAAAGTGAAGAAAAATTTGCTGATCCATGGGGTCTCAGACTTTGTAAATGTGTTACATTCTGAAGGTTCAGTAGGCAGGGAGTTAGAACATTTTCCTATGGACAGTGTTCCTTCTTCATGTTCCTGGGAAAGTCAGTAACAAACCACTTATACTGAATATGACGTACATATGTAATTAAAAAAAGTATAAAACAGTACTAACAACTAATTTCTTAAGCAGTGAAAAGTAATTTGAGAAGAAATAAGAGACTTAAGGAGTTTCTCAAAGGATAGATGAGTACTGAAAAGGGAGCTCTGTGCTGGATGGCGCTATCTCATCTTTTTTCACCCGAAATGGGTGGTTTTCCATTTCTTTAACAGCAACTTAACCAGTAGAATTTGTGTACTTTTCAGACAATTTACAGTGTCAGTTTAGGGTTTCAGGGACAGAATGAAGAAATAAAGAATAAAAGAAGTGTCCTGAAATAGCTGAGCTGAAGTACAAAGGAAAGGGAAGACTTTTTAAATTAAAAGAGAAATGTCTGTGCAATAAAGAACATGCCTAGGTCTACATGAGGGACAAGTGAAGGATAGGCCAGAAAGATGTGCCCTTTGGTCCGCCAGCCTGCCAGGCCAGTAAAGCTGGTGCTGAAGGGGAGCGTGGGCTGCTTTCACGAGCAAGGCATTGACAACCTGGGTAGTCATGGTTGAGTTTGTGCAGGTCCTTTAATTTTTAGCAAAATATTAACTCAGATTGACTCATTTTATTAATATATGTGTTTCTGAAATTTTTTTAATTCCCTCATGAAAAATGAGTTGAAAATTATTTAAAACTCATTATGGGAGGTGATTATTTCACTCCGAAGTGAGAACCTTTTGTAAAATATTACTCGTTAAGTCAGAGCATGTCTATAATGCAGTCTTTCCCAGAGTTCAAGAAAGGGTCTCTGTAATTAAGTTAGTTTGGGAATGCTGCTTATTGTGGACTGGGAAACTCAAATATGGAGATATTTATTAGCATTAAAAAGCTCTGCAAAGTCCTTCAGTAAAGAAACCTGTTGCATTAACCCACTGCTCAAACATACTAGATCATGGAGCCCTTTCTACCCAGAACACCTTTTTAAAAATCCCATGAAACTAGTGCTTGGGAAAGGCTGTGCAACATACTGAAAACACTGTAAGTTGTCAAAGAAGTGTTTATTGAAATTTTACACAAGCTCCCTCTCCCCAATCTTTAAGATAAGGTTAGCGCTAAAAACTGCAGTGGAATTTAGCATCTTATAGAAATCTCATTTATATTTTAGGGCAAGTTTTACAGTAAACAGTGGACTATTTTCAAAGAATTTTTATAAATTGAAAGAATAACATGGCCACAGATGAAATTTTTACCAAAAAATGTGTATAAAATTAGAGGATGAAGATGATTATTCAACTACTCTGCTGAATTAAAATATGAAACAAAACCAAGTAATTTTAATTCTAATAACTTATGCATAAACAGGATTAATTTGCCTTTTGAAAGAAGCTCCTGGCTCATTTAGAAAATCTCCAGTTTGTTTTAAATGACTTAGGAGAGAAGCCCCAGCACAAGTCCAGGACTTGGGAGTCACAGAGTTCTCACTTCTTCGTGACTCCTCAGTAACCTGTGGTGAACATTTGAAGCTCTTGATGTAGTGCTTTTATCTGTCAAAATGGAATTAAAATAGTGACCCTTCTCACAGTTAAGAATTGTGAAATAACTACAGCTATGTAAAGTGCCTAGTTTTATAAAGCTACAGACTAATACTGACATATCTGTGTGCTGTTTTCAGACTTGTCTTGACAGAGGAGCTAATTTAGGAATTAATTCAGCAATAAAAAATGCTGTTACAGAAGTATCTTCTAATATACATTTCGTCACATAGGAATAATTACCATTGTATATCTTGCATGTACTAAAAGTAATAATTTTCAAAAATAATTTTTAAAAACATGCAACTTATCGCCTCTTGTTTTAATCAGGTTATTTTTATAATGGTATAATTGTTCTAATATATGGTGAGATATTACTTTGAGTAGTAAAAATACATGGTGTCTGAGTTACAAGCATTTTTATGTAATTCTCGTAGGTGTGTACTTTCCCAGAGTACTTTTCTGTATGACCTACATATGAGACTATTTCCTTTTTATGTTGAGTAGCATTATATGATATGTAAACTATGTAGTATATTATTTTTACAAAGTGATAACAAGGGTCTACAATAGAAATATGTCCCTTGAATCTTTGGATAAATAACAGAAACCATGAAAATGAATTATATTTATATTTTTTCATTTGATTTTGTATATGCCAGTAGCCAAAAAATTAAGAAGACTGTTATTTAGGAAATTGACTTTCTGTGATTCTGTAAAAACAATATTTTGTGTGTTATTTTTCTGTTTTTGATCTAGTGTCTTAAGATGATAAGTATTAGTAGGATATGTATAATTGTATATCGGAATACAGTTGACTTTCCTGTACTACGCTCCCAAGAAATGTCATTCTTTTACCCTTCTGAAAATGGAATTTCTACAGGATTAAAATAACCAAAACTGATTTTAGAAGACTGAAATCAGATCTTTAGACCAAAAATCATATTGCTCACACTTTTGGAAGGGTTTAGTTTAAGCACTTCTTTTCTGCAACCTGAGCATCTGGTATTTTCAAATTAAGCACCTTCTAAATTTGACTCATACATTATGGAAATCTGATGACACAAGGGTGGGTAGGCTCACTTTGATTTTATGAAATATTAATCATCACTGTGATTAATGATTCAGCATTTCACATCTGGGTTATTCCTGTCATATTTGAAAATTATACTATTAAATATAGTATATAAACTTAGCGTAGGTGGGTCATACCAATTCTCTAGTGTCCCTTAAGAAGTAAGTGGAAATTTAACAGTATAACGAAAACTACCAGTGATAACCTGTGATGTTGACAGTTCCTGGCATATTTTATACCCTCAAGGATTTTTTGATGTAAATTAGTATATATTTCTTCAGGGAATGGAAGCTATAGAATCTGCTTTCCAGAGAACTGTTGTTTCTAACCAAGATAGAATCTGAAGAGTGATTTTATTATGTAGAAAATAAAGGAAAATAGAAATGGTGCACCAATAAAATTGCTTCTCGATTATTAGACTCTTGAATGCCATACCTTACCCCTGCTGTCATTTGTTGACCATTAGCGTAGGTCAGGCACTGTGCTAAGTAGTTTGTGTATATTTTCCTATTTAAAGAAGTATAAGGGGTGGTTTAATGAGCATTATTTAATTTGAAGGATTACAACCATCAAAGTGTTAATTACATTTGTCATAAATGCATAGAATTTGCCATGTTTGAAATTTCACATGTACTTTTCATGGGTTGTTTTCTCACACCCTGCACTTTTCCTGATTATTTTACTTACACTATTTATAAATTATTATGGAGTTAAATATAACACTGGATGGTAATAGCATAGTGAAAGAAAATTTTAAGAAAAACAATGGACTGAAGGTAAAATTGCTCAGATGTCACTGGAAAATGAAGATGAATTTAGCAGCCCAGACTTTGACTTGAAACTTGCCTGTGAAGCAGGTTAGTTATTTTAAGTCGCCTTATTATTCCTGAAAATTAAATAGACCCTTACAAGCAGGGGAGGGTATCTTATTACTGTTGCTGATGTTCTCTTGGATTTATATTTTCTTAGCTAAATTTGAAAGACACAACATCTCTGAATTATGTGCTCAGAATCTTACTGGCACCATGCCTTTACTGGAGTCCCCAGACATAGCAGTCTCTGGCTGGGGTCTGGTACACAGTAGATGCTGTTTGCACTGTGTCTCTCCATTTCATACCAGGATTTATTTTGTGGGTTTTCCCCCTTTATTTTGCCTATTCAGAGCACTTGAAAATTGCTTTCTCAGAACAGAGGTGCCTAGAAATTTTTCTGATACGCTGTTTAGTTGAGAGTCACAAACTACTATCTGCGCCTTTAGAAATGATTGAGAAGTACCCTAACTGCAACCAGTCAAATGAGGCTTACTAGTTCTTCGGAGACAAGCTGTAAAATTTTAAGTTGAATAGCAGGTACATGCTTTATATGGATTGTTGACATTAGTTCTTGCTTTCTTCAAGGTGGACAGGTATTTGTTTTAAATTGTCACGTACCTTCTAATGCTACAGCTGATGGATTGGTACCTTGAATATAGTTCTAGAGATAGTTATCCTTAATAAGGGCACTAGAATCAAATTGACTTAATTTTTCCTTTGCTCTCGCATTGAACTCAGCTCTCCCTAGTTCTAATGTGCAAATGCAAACTTTAGTGCACATCTCTTGGAGGCATCATTGAAATGGATCCCTCCACAGAGGGTCCTTATCAGAAAGTCTGGTGTGGGACCTGCAAATTCACACATACCAGATTTAGGCTTGGATGCTGCTGCTGCTGCCGCCGCCGCCGCCGCCGCTGCTGTCCTGGGAGTTAACCTTTATGGTTCCTGAACTAGTGATTGCTTTAGTTTGTTTGAAATACTCATACCCACATTAGAATATGTAGCTCAGGCCCAGTTTTACAACTTCTGACTGCTGCTGCTCCTTTCTGTTTCTTTTCTTTGTCTTTACTCACCAATCAATTCTACTAGCCTTACTGAAAGACAAAATAAAACAAAACAAAAAAATGCTCTTCTGAGTCTCCTCAGCCACAAGAAATGAACTTTTACAGCCTTACCACTGAGAATTTTTAGCCCATTGAGTATAGTCTCAGCTTTTGTCACCTATATTTATGAAACTCAAAGGCTCAGTGTTTACATTCTTTTTTCTTTCTTTAACATTTTTTCCCCACGAGAGAGATGAAGTCCTGAAAAGAGGTTATGGAATGGAGATAATAAAATGCAAGTACTGGTGAATAAAAGACAGTGGCAAAGGGACACTTCTATTAGAACGAACTCTTTATTAACAACATAGATGTGATATGGCAGTCTAATCAGAGCCCTTAACAAACTGCCCCTCAAATTTGAAATGATTAAGGCTGAGATATGGATGAACATATCAGTAATAAGTTGTGTCTTCTGACATTAGCTAATGACATTGGAAAGTGTCATGATTAGCGAGAAAAAATGTCATTTATATCATGTCTAATTCTTTCTTTGAAACTACCTATTTTATCATTAGATATTATCATGGTAAATAATAAATGAATACTCACATATTGGATGTGAGTCTTCAAATACTTAAGTTTGTTCAAACAAAAATGAAATGGGAGACAATTGCATTCTGTTTGTTGTAGACTCATTTTCTGGAAAATATTTCACTGATAATCTTTATTGCCAAGTTCTAACAAAATGGCAAATTATCCCCTACTTGCATTACAGTTTAACAAGTGTTATATATTCACATACTTCATTAAAAAGTATATTAACAAATCAGATAATTAAAAATAAATACTATAAAACTTTTTAAGATACACACTATATAGTGAGGACTTAAATATTATGTAAATATATATTAGATAAGTAGTTCAGGTGTAAACACCATAACTTTTACTGGTTAAGTCTCTAAGTTTAAAGTGGATGTTGCTATATAAATTAAGATTGTTTTCTATTGGAAATTTTTGTTTCTATTTGTGGAACTCCAAATAAAATATTTTATAGCTTTGTTTTGTTTTGATCTACTGCACCGGAGTTGTTTCTTATAGAGTTACTTAAAAATCAGTTAATGTATGCATTATATTAGATTCTCATTGAAATTACTCTCCCATTTTTAGTTCGAATGCAAATTGTATAATTAAAAAGTATCTTCAGTATTATTTGCTGTGCAGCTGTGTAATTTCAGGAGGTCACTTTCAAAGTAAGGGGGTGCTCAAGGAAAATATAAAGTAGAAGTAGTAATGTACCATCTCTCTTATTTTAGCATGTGTATTTTATTTGCTATAGGACGCATACGGAAAGCTACTCAATTTAGAAAAACATAAAAATGAGTTGCAAGCCAAAGGTCTATTTTCAGAAGAAGCTAAAACCAAGTAAGTTCTTTTCTTGCATTAAAATATATGAAAAATTTGGACTAAAATCATGGCAGTTATCATTGATGTTTTTTAAGCATAGCTTATGCCTAAAAATTGGTAAAGTTAGAGGTCAAAATAATAGGTGATTTTTTTTGTTTGAGAGGAAGTAAAAAGGTTATTATTTTTATGTTACTTCACTCCATACTTATACTAAATGGTATTTAATAACTATATTTGAGTATCATCCTTAGAATTTTTGTTTATATGAGGTCTGTCTGAAAAAAGTCCAACCATTGTTTGTTTGTTTGTTTAAGATTTTATTTATTTATTTCTAGAGAGAGGGGAAAAGAGGGGAAAAAGAGAGGGAGAGAAACATCAGTGTGTGGTAGCCTCTTGCATGCCCCGAGCTGGGGACCTGGCCTGCAACCCAGGCATGTACCCTGACTTGTAATCATGTGAATAAAAGACAAAGGAACACTTCTTTTAGAACGAACCCTTTGGTTTTCTGGCCAGCACTCAGTCCACTGAGCCACATCAATGTAACCTGGCAGCCAATGAGAGTGGACTGGAATGTGCATGCGTGAACAATGACAACATCACTGTACTAGTCAGTGGGGGTAATAGACAGTGTTGAATGATCATGTGTACTGTGTGACTGTCGCATTCAAAAGGACTGAGCAAGTAGAGCAATGAATCTCCATCAGATTTTGCATTAAGCTTGAACTCCTCCACAGAAACTGTTCAGATGATTAGAATGCCACAGCTATGGGCAACTGGTGATTGGCAGCTTCATCACAACATACCCACTCATGCATCATATCTCGTGCAGTTTTTTGGTGAAACATCAAATCACCCAGGTGACTCAGCATCCCCAAAGCCCAGATTTGGCGCCCTGTGACTTCTGGCTTTTCCTAAAACTAAAATCACCTTTGAAAGGAAAGAGGTTTCAGACCATTGATGAGATTCAGGGAAATATGATGGAGCAGCTGATGATAATTGGGAGAACTGTTTGAGGTCCCGAGGTGCCTATTTTGAAGGGGACTTAGGTGTCATTGTCCGATATATAGTGTTTCTTGTATGTTGTATCTTCAGTAAATGTCTAATTTTCATAGTACGTGGCTGGATACTTTCTGGACAGGCCTTATATAGCTATATAGCTACACATTTACTTAACTTTTACATGGTCGTAGGTTTTTGTTTTGGGGGAGGGGTTTTGTTTGTTTGTTTTGTCAGTAGTTCAAGGGTTATACTATCATTTTGCAAACAGTGATAGATTAGATCTATCTTCTTGAGCAACCAGTTTTAAATTTTGGCCAGTTTATTCATATATATCTTCTTATGCAAAAACACAAGTCTTTGAATATAACTTGTTTACCTTGGAAGTACTACCCCTTGCCCTTTCTTTGGACTTCATTACTACTTTAGTCCATTGACAGATTAACTTTGCGTCCATAACATCCCCTTTGAAGTAAATTATGAAAAACAAGTGAAATTTTAATTTTTAAGAAATCTTGTGGCTTTTAATATCAAATGATTTCCATAAAGACATGTTAACTCTCCAGACAAAACATTTGCTATATTTGATATTTTTTCTAGAGTAGATTGTGGACATGAAATATTATATCTGAAAAGTAGTTTACTTGAGTGAAATTTTATAGCTATATAATATAGTATAAAAATTTCTTTCCCCAATCAAGAATTGCTACTACATCTGAGATCTTTTGTGATATAACTGGAACTGCATGGTTAATTTAAAAGAGAATCTATGTGATATTTTAACAGAGACCTGATTGGCAGCAGATGGCTGATTAAGGAGGAACTAGAAGAAATGTTAGTGGAAAAACTGTCAGATCAAGATGTGAGTAATTAATGTTTTTAAATTCAAGGGGACCTGTGCCATAGCAATGCAGACTATGGCTGTATTTAGGATCCTAATAGTAATGTTCCTCAGAGGCAGTTGTTCCTTAGATAATTTTTCTTTTTAAAACATATTTATAGTTGATTTCAGCCATGGAAGGACCTTACTTGTGGTCAGGAAGGTGACATGCCTGCTCTCCAGACCCTCCTTATGTAAGTGCCGTGGTGTCCTCTGCTAGTTGTTCTAGGGAAGCATGGTAGACATCATTTTTCATCTCCTTCAGTAAAGCAGATAGCTGATTTTACAAGCTAATGATAAGTGTAAGGAGCTATTATTACAGGTTAAGTAGAAAAGGAATAAAGCAGATGGTTACCTTCATATAATTTACTGCTTTTTGGCTTACCTATGTGCAGTATCTCTGAGGCCACTATTTTTCATCCTGGAATCTGCAGAACCACCTGTGTCAGAATCACTTGGAATGCTGGTTACAAAATACAGTTTTGAGGTTCAGATGTAGCTCAGTTTCTAGGGTTGTCATCCAGAAATCAGTGTTTTTAACAAGCTCGCCAGGTGAATGTTAACGTCCTCTTTAGGGCTCAGATTCTTATTTTGTGAAATGTTGTAATATATGCCAGTATCATCAGAGGAAATTTGATGTTTAAATATTTTGATGTTCTAAATTTAGATTATTTTTGGAAGACTTCAGTGTAGATTAATTTCAAAATTGCCCCAAGAGTTTTTTTCTCCCTTGGCAGTGGCTAACATGTTAATATGTTGCCACCCTGTGTATTTTAAGTTATGTATTGAAATTGCCCTTTTTCTCATTTAACATATTGGATAAATTAATGATTTGGAAAAGTTGCAATTTGCTTAACAAAGGTGTCAGGCATTTGGTGAATGAATGATAGGTCTAGAGTTAATTTCTAACACACTAACCTTGAAATCAGTATTGCTGCCCTTGGATCTAACTGAAAAATCTCTCTTTCCTTTTTCATTGAACACATACATCATTTTATTGTTTCCTCTGTTTCCTGGCCACTTTGATTTTTATAATACAGGTTTGTTTGTTTTCATTTTGAAAACATCCCAAAGACTTTATCACAGGTGTGCATATGTATGTATGTCTTCTGTACATTTGGGGTACTGGCCATTAGAAGAAACCCTGAAGCTGAAGACTGGTATCAAGATGCAGGAGGCAGAGCAGGCAATAACTTCTTAGTTAATAGCGAGGCTCTGTTATACCTGTAGTTACTCCTTAGTAGGTTCACTGGTAGTCACAATGTGTGCGATGGAATTGAGAGAATACCTGAGAACAAAGGATATAGGACTGAAAGGGAGGGGAAATATGAAGCTTTGTAAGGCTGGTACCATAGGTGGCTAAGTAGTTCACCCTTGCTTATAAAATTGCCTTCCCTCTCTCTCTCTCTCTCTTTTTTTTTTTTTTTTTAAGATTTTATTTACTTAGGTTTAGAGAGAGGGGAAAGGAAGAAGAGGGGTAGAGAAACATCAACATGCTAGAGAAACATTGACCAGTTGCGCCTCACGTGCCGCAGCCAGGGACTTGGCCTGCAACCCAGGCATGTGTCCTGACTGAGAATCAAACCAGCAACCTTTCAGTTTGCGAGAATAACACCCAACCCACTGAGCCATAACAGTCAGGGCAATTTCTTTCTCTTTTATTGTAATTTCACAGGAAACAATAATTGAAGTAGCCCTTTTAGTCTTACTGGTGAGATTCTTATATATTTAATGGCAAATTTGCACACTAAAGGCAGTGGTAACAAAGGTGAATATGATTTGTAGGGTTGGCAAAAAACATAAATAAGGTTATCAAAATTAGGTTTCACACTTCATATTAACTAAGGATTTCGAGTATTAGTTGTTTCCTTCTGCATAAACACTTTAGAATGATTATTCTGGCTTCTAATTTTAAGGGGTTAATACCAAGTTGTTTACTTTCTAATCACATGTTCAAGAACTATTAAAAAAAATGCAGAGTAGCAAGGATAATTTATTTCAAGAGGTTGCCCTTTAAGTCAAGTATCTCTTGAATTTTTAAATAGCTTGATTGTTCAGTTTTAAAGGAAATCATAAACATTAAAGTAACACAGCTTGAACAGCTAAAGATATATTTGCCAAATATATTATGAGATATAATTTAAGAGGTACATTTTCTCAAAATCAAACTCTTCCCATTTTGCTATACATAACTTACTAGAAATTATTTATGAAGCTTCTCTAGATACGGTTCTAATAAAAGAGTAGAAATTACACTTGAAGATCATCTAAATTTTGGGGGGGAAATGAATTTAAATCTCAATTTCATGTCATCAATATGTGGAGAAATTGACTTTTCTATGAATGATAAATCTCTTTATTTCTCAGAAGAAAAGATTGAGCACTAAAGATCCAAGGGGCAAGTGCTGCATCTTCATGATATTCTAAAAGCAGCATGAAGGTGCTGAAGTGTCATCCTGTCAAAATTCATCAAAATGAGAAACATTGGAAAGATCAGGTCTATAAAAATAGAAGAAATTTAGCAAATGCAATTACACTTGCATCTTCTAATGAATTTTTATTGTCTGCAGTATGAGCAGTTCATTCGGCTGCTGGAAAGATTATTGACACTGCAGTGTGGTGCTGCTGAAGAAGAATTTTTGCAGAGCTTTCGTAGGAGTGTAACTATTCAATCAAAGAAACAGCTGATTGAGCCAGTGCGGTATGACAAGCAGGGAATGGCCTTCAGCACAAGTGAAGGTAATGACATTCCATGGAGGAAAAATAGATTCCGTGATGATTGAGAAGTTACAGTTACTCTGTCCATTCTATTGGTTTATTTTAGCTACTATAACATTGGATTTCCTCATTGTAAAGATTCTATTCAAAGATTCTTTTGGAAGTTTTTAAAAATAGAACCTTAGAATGTCCCAAGAAAAAATTTGGACACATTCCTACACAATCATCTGAAACCTTTTTATTTTCACTTATTTATGTTAATTATTTTTATTTTCACATTTCAACTGATGGAAAAAATATAATAAAGTTTTCTTATAAAATGAAAATGCTCAGCATTTTCAGAGTCTGCATTATCAGATGCTAAAACTGTGAAACGTGAAAACTTTAGATCTTCACTCACATTTCTCATGTAGGTGTGCAAAGACATTTAACATGGCATAACCTAAAAATTAAAGTATTAAATGAGCTATCTGCAGCTCTTAAAAATTTAACATCATTGCTTTGTCATTTTTAACTAATGTTCTCAGAGGAATGTGACCTTTTTTAAGGATTTCTGTCATTTCTATCAATTATATTTTATCATACTTTGCAAATATTTAAAAAAATTGTATGATTACATATATTCTTAGTGAATATAAAAACACTGTTAATTGGTTGATTTTTTTTTTAAGTTCTATAAATGTTAATTACTTTGTTGCTTGTGAAAACTAACTCAAAGTTACTGTAATGTTACTCAAATGGCAGAAAAAAATTACCTTATAATAAGCTTTATTACATTGATTATGGTGTAGTTTACCTGCTTTATTTTTATTTGACTTGTAGAAGTCCTAGAACTTTTTTCTGTATACACTGCTATATACTGTTATTCAGAAGAAAACACTTTTAATATAGTTTTATTGTCTCAAAGCCCTGGTTTTTCTGACTTTTTACTAATAGAAGTTTTATATTTTCAAAGGTAAAAGAAAGAGTGCAAAAGCAGAGGCAGTTGTTTATGAACATGGAAGTGGAAGAATAAAAGTTAATGGAATCGATTACCTGCTTTACTTCCCTGTGACACAGGACAGGTTAGTGTCTGGTTTTGCTTTTGTTTTTAAAGAAAATATTTCATTATACCTCATGATCAGTTCATTAAGGCTTTTGATCTTCTGATTGTCTTTACCAATGACTATTTCTCTTTACCAGTATAATTTATCAAACTAGCTAGAGGGGGAAACTACCACTCTTTTTTTATGTGGTTTTCAGATTTTTAAAAAGTATTTCTAAAAATTTTTCCTTACTTGAATCTTCCTCTTCTTTTCATTAGCTCCTACTGGAATTTGGGTGTTTCAGATACATCTTATGTTCTAAAATGCAGACTGCAAAAACGTAAAAAAAGTAGATTTCTAGGGTTGGTCATGCGCCAAACAAAACAACAACAAAAACCAGCCTTTGCCATCACAAATATTAGAAAAAATCTGCTCTCACTTTGGATTTTTTCCTATTCAGAGGAAGTAGAGATATCTATATAATCAACCAAAGAAACCTGCCATTTATGCCTTAAAATAAGAGCTCATCAACCTTTGCTTAGTTCCCAGTGCTAAATATGGACAGTTTTATTTTTTTGAACTGTGTATCCCATATGGAAACAGATATGAATCATAAATCGGTGTTATAATTCATATCCCCTACATATACTCGCCTTAGGTCTACATATACTCATCTCGAGTCCCATGCAAAGGCCTATTCTTGAGACAGTTGTTATTTTTCCAGTATTTACTGTTGTTATTCTTATGTTCCCAGTGCTTATGTAAGGGAAAGGGGACCCTGCTAATGTAGTGTAAGCTCCTGTACAGAATCATTACTTCAGAAAAGGATCGTTTATTTTATTTTTGTGTGTTTTTTTGTGTCAGGAAGTAGTCCACTCTAACTCCATTCAGTTAAAAGTAATTGTACGATCATCTTCATAGGGAACAGATGGAGGAAGTTCTTTGCCTTATGAAAAGCCCAAGAGACACATAGCTTCAGCATTGGGGACTGCGAGGAGGAATGGCATTTGACCGATACTTGCCTGTTAATTTGTTTTCAGATACAACTCTGATGATTTAACACAAAGTCTCAATTTTGGCTTGATTTTGCAATTAAAATATATTCTTAGAACAAACTCTTCATTTTGGATTCAACAGACATTTAATAGGGAATGTCTGTGATCCAGTCTTGTTCTTGGTATTGTGAAGATATCACAGCTATTTATCATCTGACTTCTATCAAGAAACTTTCTGCTTGATTGGGAACCCTAAGTGTAGTCTTCATGGGAATGGGTGGCTAAACTGTCTCATCATCTTTAAGAAGCTGTAGGGATTTAGGGCAGCCATAGTAGCTGTGGACTCCTTTCCTCTTGTAGGAGCAGCTCAGGAGCTTACAGGTTCACCAGTAAGGTGACACTGACCAGTAGGAAGACTACTGAACCAAAATTCGGGTGATCTTGGTTCTAGCTCTGTTTCCTAGCTGTGTGACCATAGCCAAGATGCTTAAAGGTCACTTCTAATTGGTAGGTGGGAGTTGACCTTGATCTCCAAGATGCTTGCCTGAAAGTCAACTGAACTACTTACTTATCTTTCCAGGGACCTTTCTTTGGGCTGCTTTTACATAAACAGCAACAGATATTGGGAATATTGACTATGTTGCTTTCCTAACATCTTCAGAAATGTTTTATTCATTTACTCACTTAAACAACAGCCAATTATTACTATGTGTCTGGTACTATGAAATACAAAGATTAATAACCTTTCTGGTTTGGAAAGGCCTTTGCTCTGTCAGTCAACCTAGAAAGAAACTCTAATTAATCACCTGTATTAAAGAAATACATTCCTTACACAGCACTAACCATGCAGCAGAAGAAATGTTATCATTTTAAGCAATTACAGAAAAATAAAAGAAACTATGCGATTATATGTATTTTAAGTTACACACTAATAATAGAATTGGTACCCTTGGAGTAGCATTCAGAGAAGATAGAAATAACAAATTTTTTTGTTTTTGTTTTTTTTTTCAAAATAGCTTTCATTATATAACAAGGAACAAAATAGATTTGATTCTTTTAACTCAGGATTTTATCTGGGATCCCTGAAAGTAGAGAAGATGAATTGTGAAATATTTTCAAGCCATGTAACTATTTTTGCACTTGCCCGTTTGTAGTCAGATTAATTAAAATCAATAACAATATAATTACTTTTTATTATTACCCTTTGGGTATTTTTTCATATTTATAAATTTAGTGTTGTACCTCAGTGTACACCAACTTCTCAACTATCTAGACTTTTCTTAATGGTTCTTTCTTTTTCTAAATAGTTCTTTCTTACCTTGACTGCCATAATGATATATTGTGAGTGTGTGTGCATATATAAATATATATAAAATAAATTCTAAAATGTTAACTCATTATAAAATATAATTTAAATATGTAAAATATAAAATGAAAATTAATTATAAATATAATTGATATAAATATATTAAGTATTTTTTCCTGAATTTTAGTCTAAGTTTCTTTAATAAACTTGTGTTGGGGAGTCTTAAAATTTTAGAAACTAACACAGATAAATGTTTAAAGTCCCAAACAAGTGGGTGACCAGAGTTTCTTTCTGTAATGTTACTAGCCAGTAACTCACTTAACTGTGTTAGGCAATGCAGAGACCTCCCGTGACATGTGCACATTGCAGTCCCACAGATTTTATCTTGGCCTCTATTTCCTTGCTGGAATAAATGAAATGGTGGGACTAGATAATCAGTCTCTAAATTCTCTTTAGTTATTATGATAATGTGGCTATTACTTATAACTGTCCTATTTTTATGACATTCTTATTTTTTATGTGGTTGCTTTGAAACATTTGTTCAAAAAAAACAATAAAGATTTATGTTGTTTCCTTATTAAAACAACATCAATATTGACACAATATTACTGCAAATTCCCATCACCTTTGCCTTTGAAGGTCCTGTTCAGTACATCTTTCTGCACGTCATTATTTTCATACTGTAATCCAAGGAGTGACACTTGAATGTTCCATCTGTATCCATCTTTCGACCTCACTGTGTTATAATAAGCTCTGTTTGGGGTCTAGAAAGCTACAGTGTCAGAAAAAGCAAGCAAAATGCAGTATCAGTCAACTTTCTAAATAAACACTCAGCAGAGAGATTAAGGCAAAGTAGCAAAATCAAAGTGCTTGACAAAGGTGGTGCCTGGCACATAAGTGGTATTCAACAAATCCTTGTTCACTTGAGCAAGAGAAGGTCCAGGGCCACAGTCTGTGTCTCCTTCTCTCATCCTGAGACCACATAGGCACTCACTATTGAGGGAAGCAGGCCTGACAGGAGTTATACAGTGTGTCACGTGCAGTCAGGCAGGTAGCAGGACCCTGCAGCTCAGAGAACTATTAATAGCAACATGTGTTTCGGTGGGGAGAAAAAAGTGGAATGTGATTTCAGTAACTTTAAAAACCAACCATGTCAGGATGAGCATTATATATACATTATACAAATGAATTACAATATACTTTATTTAGTGAGTCCAGATGACAATTGATAACTGTGTAGGACAGCCTATTGATGTTATACCTGATCACTGATTCCAGAGAGTTAGATTCAGTTGATGAATGGAGTTTCCCAAATTTAAGATTTCTTTACAAGGTTATTTTCAAGCCTCAAAAAGTTCTTATGAAGATATAAGAAATCAATGGAGAGATAGTAAGTATATCGCTATATCCTGGAGAAATAAACCTTGCTCTCAGCAAAACATTCTAAGTGGTCAAAATGTGAACCATTTATAAAGTCGTGTATTTGATAATAAACTTAACTGCATTTCTGGTTCTAAATGGTCACAATGTGAACCATTTTTAAAATTATGTATTTTACAATAAACTTAACTGCATTTCTGGTGATGTGCTTTAGAGAACAATTGATGTTCCCTTTCCACTTCCTTGACCGACTTGGAAAACACGACGTGACCTGCACAGTCTCAGGGGGTGGGAGGTCGGCGCAAGCTGGAGCCATACGCTTGGCAGTGGCCAGAGCTTTGTGCAGTTTTGTCACCGAGGAAGAGGTCGAGTGGATGAGACAAGGTATGGGTTGTGGTGGGAGGGGACCCAGTCGTCCCATATTGTCTATAAGTATTTCTTTTATTGTTGTGCTACTTATCTGAAATTAGTGAGAAAACACTCAGTTAAATATGCAGTATTGCAATTTGCTGCCTTCTCTTTTCATGCTCTAGAACCATCACATTTTTCAGTTTCCATTTCTACAAAGTGCACTTGATTTAGTACAGGAAAAGGGAGATACTGTCCGCATTGGGGGCGGAGGGGAGGTTAATTTTGATCTTAAGGCAGAGCCAGTTTAACAGAACAGTTTAAACATTGCTCAATTATGTTTAACAGGTTGATTTTTTTAATCATGAAGTTACAATAATTATTTGATTTAATGGTAAAGTCCTTAAGGTATTTCTTTTCAGAATTATTGGAGATTTCCATTTTTCCATTGTGATATTAGTTCAAATTTTATGTTGTCTCACTTTGTGTGACCCCATGACCTGATTGTGGATACAAGTGTGAGAATAAATATGCAGTCGACTTGTTCATTAGGGCTGGGTGCTGTGTGGTCTGGACCTGTCTCTTACACATTAGCTGCAGCTCCTCCCCGTTCCCCTGCTGTTTCCCCCAGCCACTGGGTCCTGATGCTGTGCCGCAGATTAGTGCTGCCTATGGCTTAAGATGGTTAATTTTTAAGCCTCTTAATCCATTTGTTTACAACCCCATTTTGTGGGGTTCATATTTCATCATTAAAATAATTTGATAGGATCTTAACAATTCTGCTAGTTTGAGTTACTGTGCATATTGAAAATTAATAAAGCATAATTACTTGTAATTTAAAGTAGAATTTAGACAGGTCTTGTCTTCATTTTGTTCAAAATATTATTTGTTTTATTCCATGCCATTTAACTACAAGTAAATTGCAAAAGCTATGGGTATATAATAAGCACTTGAAGTTTTCCTTTGCTGTATGGCCATTATATGACCCCTGATGAACTACTCTAACCTTGTACACAATAAAAAGATGTGCTAGAGTTGGAAAAGTTACAAAAAAAAAATGAAAAACTGTGGTCTATTTACATCTTTATAAAATCAATTTTAAGAGCTTTCTCATCACTGGTATTTTTGAAATCTGTAGTTTTTACTAATTACTGTGACTCCATCCACAACTGGGATGCTTCATTTGAGCTGTATACTGAAAGTAATGCCTTAATTGCCCAGAAATCATAATTGCTCCCGGTGATTGATTAGGAGAATGGAAGCTTCTATTTTAAACTGACTTTATTCTTCTAGAATAAACAGCTTATGCTGAGGTTACAACCCTAAAACTTACTTTTTAGATTCTGAAACAAAATACCAGGGATATTATCACACAAATTAGAATAATAAGATTTTTTCTCAAATATATTCAGTAAGTCATATTTTAAGTATATGTAATATTCATATATACTGTTAATATATGATATCTGTATACTTTCTCCTACGTCACCATAGAGGTGTTTCTTCTCTGCCTCTTCATTACAACTTTCACATAAGTAATGATAATTATGCAGGATGAATTCCATTGGAGTGAAGAGTGACTGCCCACACAAGAACAGCTTTATCTGAAGTTGAATAAGTTTAAAAACCAAAAAGGAATCAGTCCTCACAGGATAAGGAAAGTAGACCATAACGTACCTGGTGTTTGTCTCATAAATTGGAAACATATCCTAAAAGAGTGAAAGCAAACTGTTGTCATGAGATTTATACCAGGCTGGTAAATCCTTGTAGGTCTGCTTGCTTTCCTCTATTTTTTTTTCTCTAACAGTACCTATAAATTCGTGGAGTTCACTCCTTTTCTACCTGGCACCATGCGTTTTCCATGGTTTGTAACGGCTTCTCTTTTCATGCTGCAGCCGGACTACTTACTGCTGATCCACGCATCAGAGAACGGAAGAAACCAGGCCAAGAGGGAGCCCGCAGGAAGTTCACCTGGAAGAAGCGCTGAGTGTTTGCTCAAGAGAGGAGAGGCATGCTGTGCGTGTGCCTGCATGTGGTGAACACACAGCGTGAGGGCAACACTGTCAGACACTTGAGCTCTGAGATTATTTATTTTTAAATGCTACTTTGTAGAGGTTACTTTATAAAAATAATTTTTTTAAATGTTTAGCTTCAATCTGCTGTTTTATTTTTGAAACTTTCTCAGAAGATAGTTTTAAAAGAATAATTCATAGAATGTTGGCATCCTAGGCCTGAAGAGAACATTGAGCAAAACCCAGTCAAGTAATGTCATTTTGTAGACAAGCCACATTGCTAATTTAATGATTGAGCTGGACTTGAACTCATTTATCTTGATTCTGTTGTTTGCCCACATGGTAATTGTTTACAACACAGTTTTCACCATTGAGAAATGAGAGTGCTTGCTCAGAAGGATGAACTAAGTTGAGTGCCTTTGTCAGGAGCTCAGCAAAGCTGGAGAGGGCTGAACTGCCAGAGAGCTGATTATGATAACAAGCCAGCCTTGCTTCCCTCAGCCCCTGGCAGCTACCACTCTCCTGTTTCTATTTTTCTGCATATAATTGATGCCTTGCAGTATATGTCTTCTGTCTTGCTTACTTTATGTAACATAATACCCTTCAAGTTGGGTACACAGTTTCAGTTATAAGGTAAATTAGATTGGAGGATCTAATACAGAGTGGTTACTGGTTGGTAATACTATATTGTATCATTAAAATTTGTTAAAAGGATAAGTCTTTAAGCATTTTCAACCAAAATAAATAAATAACTATATGAAATGATGGTTGTGTTATTTAACTTGATGTCGGGACTCCTTTCACAATTTATACGTATGTCAGATTATCACATTGTACACTTTAAATATATTACAATTTCATTTGTCAATTATACTTCAGTGAGGCTAGAAAAAGAAAGCAGGCCATGCCATCAAGATGGGGTCATTATAAGGACAAGATGTGGACTATGTGACTGGAGCAGGAGGTTCTGGGTGAGGTAGGAACAGCTGTGAGAGTCCAGTGATGGAGTCAGTAAGGTGATTACGCCATCAGGTTGCCCACGTGGCCGCAGCCGCCTCCTGTTATCTCAGTGTAGCTACTGAAGAGTTCCCCTTTTTACTCTCCTGGTGTGCTGGTCGAAGTGTAAGTTATATGGTCACTTGTAGATTTAGGAGATCTGTGATGAAACTTTGAAATATTTCCAAAGTCTCGTGTATGTGTTTCTTTCTGGGCTCTATTGAGTCATTGCTCTCATAGATGCCCAGAAGGGTCCATCCTGATGATATTAAGAACCCTGGCATAAGGAGGGTTTTTTGCTTTTCTTAAGGAAAATAAGCCCAGTCTTTTGTGTACAACACTGTACCCAGCAGGTGAAGTAGAGCAGGTGTTGGTAGGATGCTCAGGTGAGAGGGTCTGCACCAGGTGGGAGCAGGTAGTCAAGGGCTGTATCTTCAGTTGGCAGGTGGGTAATGAGTGTCTACTTTATTATACCTTCCAGAGGTGGTACACATGACGTTTAATCTATTACATGATAAATAAAAGGCCATCCTGAAGACCATATGTAGGTTTCAGAACACAGTCTCTGGAGTTTATGTGTGACCTTGGGCAAGCTGACCTCCTTACACCTTGATTGCTCATGTGAAAATGAGGAGAATGGCCGTGCCTCTCCAAGGACGACAGGGGTCCGCTGAAGTCCATGTGAGCAATGTAGCCCATAGGAAGTGCTCTGTAAATGTTGGTTTTGATTCTCATCAAAAATCTTTCCTTGACCTCTGTCATTTGGTTAAACAAAAGCAGACAGTAATCCAAAAGTTAGGGAAGAAATAGAGATGATGATGTAAAAGGTGGTTTCCTTGAAAGAATGACAGCTGTTCCATGTTTTTCCTCCTCTTTTAGCACTGTTCATTGACTTGACTACAGAAAAAACAAAACATGATAAAAATTTTTGAGTAATTTAATGTTGTAGACTAAGTGTTTCCATATCTAGTAAAACACGTAGGGTAGACTCAATTCAGGAAGCCCCCCAGACACTGAATGCACTCAGCCTCTCACAAAGCCATCGGAACCACAGTAGGCAGCAACCAGTGAGGAACTTACAAACATAAGGAAGGATCAGTATGTGGTATTTTATAAAAATTGAAGTCAAGTGCCATTAACAGAAAGGCTGTAACATTCCATGAAATTAACAGGAAAAGAACCATAAAAATAAAAATTGCTATCATCAAATCATCTTGCAACAATTACTGCCACCTTCTTTGGTGAACAACTTGTGGGCTGCAGAATTTATTCTAAGCCTTTGGTTAAATACAATAAATTCATTCCTAAAAATTGCAAGTAATCTTTGAACACCAAGCTGTAAAAACTACTGAACTTCAACACTGAGCAAAATCTTTTTTCTAGCAAAAGTATTTTTTCTAGCATTTCACAGAAAATATAAATTACTGAGGTGCAAAATGTGATAAAATTTTTAAAAGAATTCACTTCATATCGCTGTTACTTTTCCTTCAACACAGGCCATTAGCTTTTAAAACTAATCAATACAATTAATGTTATATCAAAAACAAGGGAACCACAGGTAGTATTTCTTTAGAATTAGAAAACAAAGGTCATGATTTATGGAGTGAAGGCCTGTGTTGACCATGTGTCTCTGGCTGACTCGTGAGGGAGTGGCCCTCTCAGGGTTAGTCACTTCCTAGAGATGGCTGCTGGTGTGCCTTTCACGTGCAAACCAACTACTGCAGTGTCCAGAGCCCAAACTACTTCCTTTATCAGACTTTTACACTCCAGGCCACCATCCATCTACTCCAATCACCTCAAGGCCTGGTTCCAGACAGCTTGGGACAGCGCCCGTGCCCCAGAGCCCACTGAAATTATTCACACTAGCTGTTCTGAGCCTGCTTGTCCTGCCTTCTGTGTCTCATGCCTTGGAACCAACAGCCGAAGGTCTCCCCAGAGTTTTCTGCGTGCTCCCTCTGCCTCCTCGCCAGCCCTGGTGCTTCTTGTGTGGCCCTGCACGTGTGGTGGGCTCCTCCACTGTGAAGAACTTTTCAGTGGCAGTTGTCTCCTGATCTGTTGGCTGCACCATACCTGAATAATAGTGTAATAAAACCAACATTTTAAACAAGGCCTCACCTTTCAGACAGGCACTGTTACCACAATAAAATACAAAGATCATAATGTAACTTTGCTGTGTTAGTGCCTTTTGTTACTTGATTTTTAGTCATGAAACATTTACCAAGGTTATTAACATAGACCAGAAGAGTTCCTTCTAGGAATTTTTTTTTTTTTTTTTAAGGAAGGTAGGAGACCCTGTTGTGAAAGTGGTAAATTTATGTATTACTTTTCCTTAATTCCCTGCTACTTAAGCTCTAACAAAAGTTAGGGCCACTTCTGGGTCTTCTATGAAAATTGTTCGTGAGAACTTCAAATTTATTCTTTTCATTTTCCCAAGACTTAATTGTACTTCTAAGCAAGACTGAAACCTCCCCAGGCGTCCAGCTTCAGGGTGAGGTCTTTCCTTGCCAAGAATGAAAGGTTAATACCAAACTTCCTAGTAGCAGCACTGCATATCCTCTCCACGGAGGACACCATCATAACTTGTGGAGCAAACTGTTTCCCCACTAGTAAGTGGAATTTCTCTCATAATTTCAGAATATTACTTCTTTGAAGTGAGGGGAGGAAATGGTGGAAGGAAGATTTTTTTTCCATAGTGGTGTTTAATAAAGTAAATGAAGCTGAGTATTTCATGTCAGTCAGTGGTATTAAATTATAAGAGAACTCTCTTGGTTGCAAGTAGCAAAAGCCCAAAACTTGCACTATTTTTAAACTGAAAAAGGGAATTTCTTGGATGGGCATCTAACCTACAGAGGAAAGAGTTCAAGAGCCACCCTGGAGGAAGGTAGCAGTGCCTTGGGTGTCAAGGATGAGACACTCCCAACTCAGCGCCCTCTGCTTCCTTCACTTTTATGCAGGCCTCTGCTTCTGCCCTCTGCTCAGAAGGAAACACTCCACATCAGCCCCACTTCGCAACTCACTCCATCTCTCAGTGTTCTTCCAAAACATGCCAGGAACTCACTCCTCTGTCTCAAACTGGTTCTTGACAGCTGGGACCACATTGGATTCCAGAAGCTTCCACTGAAACCAGATGGCTGACCTCAAACACACAGAGCCATGGGGATGACTGACACGCTTTTATTCAGGGGTGGGGCAGTCCGCCCTTACCGCAAGCCACGTGTCCCACTGCGGGAAGTCCTGACTCCCTTGCATACTCAATGTACACAAAGCCGGCAGGGTTCCCAGGTATCTGTAAGGGAGTGTGATTCTGCACATGGAGGCCCATTCTGAAGGCTAAGTGAATACTGCCAAGTCACAGTTACCCAGACATCCGGGTGAGGAAACCTGACTGCATTTCCCCTAAGGGTTACAAAAAATAGTTTTTTCACCATCATGCTTACAGTCTAAATAGAGAACTGTAACAAACACAAAAAACAATTAGAAGGCAGTTAAGTCCCGCTGGAAAGTGGCTGTAAGTGTGATAATGACTCAGAGCTGAGGGCACGACCCGGGCAGAGGCAGGGACCTCACCTGTGAGGTTGGGCTCAGAGCCGAAACTTGGCCAGGGGAGCGTCCCTGCTCACATCTCACAGGGCTCTGAGGTTGGGGAGGCCTGACACGTGCTCAGGAAAGCATGACTGCTTTCACCGGGCCTCTGCTTTCTGGTCTGAAAAATGGAGACAGTATCCCTACTTTGCAGAGTTCTGTGGATCACTTAGAGAACTTAGGTGAAATACCTAGCGGAGTTTCTGAAAGGGACAGATCCTTGGTGAATAGGTCTTACCAGTGTTGACCCACAAAGTCAAAACCTCTTGGAGGAGAAAGTGAGTCCTGACCCTCAGGTAGTGTTTAAAGAGGCACATTCATTTCACCTCACCTCCTGTTTTATCGGGCCTTTCATCCTGAGAAAAGCATCAGTAGGAATCTTACTGTCTCAAGTGGAGAACTTAGGAACATGTAATCAAACTTTGCAAACCAAATGTTTCCCCAGGGAGGCCACATAAGGATGTGAACTAGTGTAAGACCATAGAAGGTCTGGTAGTGGGTTTCAGGGTCCCACTGGTGTGCATCCACCCCTGACATCCACCCCCTTGAACAGATCAAGAAGCTAAGGCCCAAGGAGATTGTGGTTACCCTAATTTCTTTGAAAATGTTTTGAGTTTTTATTCTAATCTGCTAACATAATGTAAAACTGAGTGGCTCTCATTCCTGAATTGTGTTGAGACAGTGATTCATTTGAAGTGAAAAAGGGCCTATGATAACTTTCTTTTACGTAAAAGAAATGCACATAAAATGTGCTTATATTTGACTTTTAAAATTTACATGTACATAGATCTCTCTACACAATGAAATTATTGATAATTTTTTACTTTATTCTTTTATATATGGCTTGAGTTGCTTAAAACTTATTCATAACTTTTATAACAGGAGAGAATACAAAGTTTCCTCTGTGAAAATGACAGCGTCCAGATTCTAGTGATTAGTTTTCTGTTTAACCACAAGATGGAGCAGTTTACAACTGAATAAGCAACTAAATGAAAAGAAAGGCAGAAGAGGATGGGATTCCTGCCCCTTTCTTAAATTCAGTTTGGGAATTCATGTACATTGTAATGCATCTTGAAAGCATCTGACATATTGACTGTATCTTTAAATCCATCTATTGGAGCCAGTCTTTGAATTCCAACTTTTTTATATGTATATTTCAACTTACCATTAATTACCTTACACATTAAGTTAGTTCCTGTTAATCAAGGGTAAGTTGTTTGAGAAGACTAGACACCGAAGTCATAATACACCCTGTCTTAGCAACAGCTTCTAATGAAGGAAAATTCTTGCATAAAAAAGTATGGTATCCATTGCTTACACCTCACGCTGCCCTGCCCCTAATATAGAATGGCTACTATTTGACTTCCAGTTGCCACGTCAAAATGAACATTTATATTAATGTTGTGAACCCTAACAAGGAAAAAATTCTGATATGCCCTAAATAAAAGTACAGCAGGCCAGAGGGTGAAAGGAAGAGACAAGAGGGGTTAATCAGTTAACAACTGCAGGGGAACGCCAAGAAGACTGCTCACATTTCTAAGTGAATGCTAGAACTTTGAATCAACTTTAAGGGGGCTATTTTTGCAATTAGCTAAATAGAATACCCAGGTGCCACCTATCACCAGGCGCCTCCACTTCCTGGTTACAAAGTAAACTTTCTGGACTGTTGCTCACAACTACTCCAAGGGAGCACACACTTCTTCCTCACAGACACGGTTCCTGTCCCAGAACTAGCACCCCTTCACCTTCTCCCACCCCCATGTCTAAGCCAATGTAACTTCTTTCAAAATGGCTTACATCTTTTGTCTGCAGAATGTTAAAAGAGCCTCTCAACCCCAGAATGGGAGGCATGCCTTCTTCATTATCCCTGCTCCTGGGGGTTTAGACTGCACACCCCAGAACCCGCTCCTTCTCTGGCTAGCATATGGCTCAAAAAACCCTTTTGTTCAGAAAAGCTTTCAACCATGAAAATATTTTTTAACAACCATTATTAAACTCTCTAAATGTTATTAAAAAAAAATTTAACTCAAAATAGAGGAAGACAAACATTAAGAGATAGACCCCCAAACAGCATGTTCAGGACTGTTCCACTCTGAGAGTTGGATGAGAAGGCTGTGGTAGCAAATGAGAGTGTGTTGGTGGGCTCTGCTGGAGACGTGCCCAGTGGAAGGAAAGCTACACTGGCCATGTGCTGCATCCACATGGGAAGAATAGTGATCAGGAAGAGGCACCCATTACTGTTGACACTCAGTCTCCACATAATATGGGAGGGGCTTCTAATGGAATCACTGCATCACGTAAAATCCATCTTACTGGACTCTAGTGCTGAGGGGAAAAATTCATTTTGTTCTTTTTACAGTAGAACAATAATTAATAACACATAAGTCTACTTGTTTGTTGTTCTAATCAGAATGACAGTGCCAGGAATCAAAGGGAGTTTTACAAATGAAGAAAGAAAAAAAAAATCGCCCATAATCTTACCATTATCCCCAACCAATAGTGAGTATCATTTTTAGGAATTATATTGTAGTGAATTTATATGGAAAAGCATGTTTCACATCATTGTAATTAGAGTACGTGTACAATTTTAAAATTGATTCCCCATTTACTATCATAATCATCTTTCTGTGTAGCTATAAGGTTCATAATTATAATTTTAATGACCTCATAATATTCCATCCATTGAGCATATGTTCCATAATTTACTTAACTAGTTTCCATACCATTAGCTGCATGTGCTTTTAAAAATAACATTGTAAATAATATGCCACAAGCACATGGTATGTATGTATGCTTTTTCATTAACTTATCCCGAGGGTAAATTCCCAGAACTAACTTCATTGAATCAATGGGTATGACCTATGACTTTAAACCTATTGTCAAATGACTTCCAAAAGCAATTTGCCATTTCCAAGGTGTGACTGTACCAGCTTCACTGTGTCTAGATTAACGTTGAGCATTTTCATTTCCAGACTTTTTGCAGCATGTTTCCAAGGGCTGTGGCTGGTTGTAGCCACGGGATCTCCAACTGTATGCGAGAGCAACCTGGAGAGACTTTGACAGCTCAGGTCAGTGTAATACCTGCAGCTGCCACTCACCTTTGCTATAATGTCTCAGGAAAAAGAAAAACAAAAAACAAAAAAACTTTCCCACTATCTCTGCCCAGTGAACAGATGGCCATGCTTCCCAGCTCTTCTGCCCCAGGGTGTCCCTCCACAGAAGGCTCATGCTTGCACCATGCAACTCATTGCCACATTCCCTGACCTCCCAGGCCTGGTCCCGCTGGCTGGCCTGGTTTCTCTCGGCACCAGTTCCTTGCCCTCAGTGGCGATCGTGCTCTGTGTTCCCCAGTAACCCTCCAGAGGCCCTGGGCCCCACAGAATACTGGCTGTTCCCACTCCTCCCAGTGTGCTTCTCCACACGCTGCACGCATGTACTCTCTGCACCTCTTTGTCATGCCCCAGTGCAAGGCAATCTGATTCCTGCTTCTACCTCTTCTGCAGAATGGCTCTTTGTAACGCAAAAGTCAGTGGACATCTTTCAGGCCCTTTTTGTTTGATCTCTGTGATGCATTTGACACCATCCTCCCAGAAATTTTCTCCTACCTTGCTTCCATGTCTTCCTACCCTTCTGACACTCCTCTCCAAATGTCTGCCATCTCTTCCTTGTTAACCCAGCCCCCAATCACTGCAGTTCCCCCAAATAGGAACATGGTGGTAAATGGCACATGGGGCAATGCAATGAAGTCTCATCCCCTCTCTCCATGTTGTCATGTCAAATGGATGCCCTCTGCCCTGGCTTTGTGGCTCTCCAGTCCCTTGGTTTCAGTTTCCACCTTCTTTTCATTTTACACACATGATCCACAGACACGCTAATGACTTCCCCGTCCGTGCCTCAAACTGAACGGAATTGGACGGCTTATTGGATACCTCTATATGAATGTGCTATGGGCAACTCAGATTCAGCAGATCCCAAATAAAAGCATTAGTTTCCCTTTAACTTTCTGGTTTACCCATGCTCTCCTAGTGAATGGCACCACTCTTCGATATCAAGTTCAAAAGCTGTCCATTACTTCACATTCCTTTGCCATCTTTACCTCTGTGGTCATTCTCTCCCTGGAGCTTGCTCTGCCCAACCCCTCCAGTCTCTCCCCTCATGCTCATCCTTCACTGATTCCTGAGTTCACCTCACAGCTCTTGTCAGCCCCTGCCTAGATTTTTCCAGCTGCCTTGCATATGGTTTCCATTACATAACTCATCTCTCCCAGTCTATAGAGGTAAAGGGCTGCAGTATGAGTGGCCAGGGACTGCAGGCAGACTTTCTGGGCTCGATTACACTCTGTCTTCAGCTATCTGTGCAACTTCGGGCAGGTTCTTTAACTGCTCTCCATTTGTTCATAAGTAAAGTGGAGGCTATAACAGTATCTACCTCAGAGGAGTAAGACTGAGGGTGGGATGAGGATTACAAGAGTTAATATAGGTCAAGCACTTGGGACAGTACCTGACACTTATTAAGCACCCATTAAATGTTTCTTGTTATCATCATTATCATCATCATCATCATCACCATCACCACCACCATCATTTTCTGCACTATTAGAGGGTCTTTCTAAAAGAAAAATCTGGTCTAACCAGGATTCTACTCAAAACCATTCAGTTCAAGCAGATATTTTGTATGCCCATGTTCACAGCAGTATTATTCTGAATAGTTAAAATGTAAAAACAACCCAAGTGTCCATTGACAAAAGAGTGGATAAACAAAATATGGTCTATACATACAACAGAATATTATTCAGGAAGGAAGGACATTCTGACACATGCTACAATATGGATAAGCCTTGAGGACATTATAATGAGTAAAGTAAGCCAATCACAAAGGAAAAATACTGTGTGATTATGCCTATATGAAGTACGTAGAATAGTCAAATTCATAGAGTCAGAGAGTAGAATGGGAGTTGCCAGGGGCTGGGGGAAAGCGAATGGGGATTTAGTGTTGAATGGTGACACAATTTCATTTTGGGAAGAAGAGTAAGTTCCAGAGATGGATGGTGTTGGTGGTTGCACAACAGTGTGAGTGTACTCAATGCCATTAAAATTTACAAGTAAAAATAGTGAAAAGGGTAAAATTTATGTAATTTTTACCATAACAAAAAAAATACAAAAAAGCCTTTCAGTGTGTCTCCATTGCCTACAAAGTTGCAACACCAAAGAAAGTGGTCTAAGCCCTGAGGCTCTGTCTCAGTTCATCTGTTCTGGCATCTTTTCCTACCTCTCCCTGAGAGATATACAGTGGTATCTCTCATGATACCACTCAGGCTATGAACTTTGACAACACTAAAACTCTGCAAAGGGCTCAAATTCCTTGCCTTCCATATCTAGGAGACTTGATTCACACCTACTTCCTGTACTTCTGGACTTTCACTTAGACAAATCAAAACATAGAATTGGGGAATATTAGAAATTATTCTATGGGTTTTTCAACATGGCAGCAAGTAGGTGGAAGCTATACTTACCTCCTCCCAGGACCAAACTGGATTTACAGTTAAATTAAAGAACAACCATCCTGAATAACCAACTGAAGTCTAACTGAGGAGGAGTCTTATAACCAAGGTTTTACTAAAGAAGCCACATTGAGACTGGTAGAAAGGACAAAGATGTGACAAGGGCTGGCTCTACTCCCACAGTGGCAGTTGATGTTGCAGAGTAATACTTCAGTGGGAATTTCCCCTGAGAAGTGTGGGGCCCAGGGCACAAGAGCCAGGAAGAGGTACCCACATAATATCTGGCTCCACAGATCACCCTCTTAAAAGCCCAACGTATAAAATTTTGTTTGCAGTCACTCACCCTGGGCTCTGGCGGAGAAGACTTAGAGTTGTGTGAGGAGAGTCTAGGGTTTGTGGCTCTAGGAAGGGAGCTAAGGGGACAGCTACCAGGACCTCTGTGCTTAGGCCCTCTTCCAGACGGCAGATGCCATCTTTCTTGGGTGGAGCATGATCTTCCAAGCAGCATCAGACTCAGGGAAAGGAATTGTCCCACCCTCTGGACCCCTCTCCTCCCAACCTTGCAAAGTTTAAGCCCCGATGAGGAGTCAGCTGCCTTAGCTTGGGTGCAGAGGTCTGGGCAGACTCAGGGACTCTCAGTGACTGAGTTCTCTGGTGTTGTGATAGGGGCCAGTTCCCCTACGTTCCTTTGATCCTGACTGGTGCTTCCCCTTCATGGGAGATCTGATAGGACCATTTTCCTGTGTTCTGGCAGACCCAACATCTGGGCCTCAGATGTACCACTTGCCTGACCCCTAGTGGTTCCACTCTGCCAAAGTCAGGACAAAATTTGGGACAGAGTCCTGGGGCTCTGGGGTGGGGACTACACTCACCACCTTCCCTGAAGCTTGACCAGCAGCACTTCCCTCTCATGGGAGATCCACTAGCCCCATCTACCCAACTCCAGAGGCTCTTTTAATGACTGAACCTAATACGTAGCCCACAGATGGAGGCAGATCTCAGGGTGACTTGGGCTTTTGCTGACACGCCACTAAGCTTGGAGCTGGAAAAAGCCAGCCTTGGTGCACAGTGTGGTCTTCCCATGAGCATCCAAACTCAGAAGAGGCAGCCACAAACTGTGGATCACTTGTAACTCCAAATAGATGGCCAAGGGCTAGACACAGATAGTGTCTGACACTGGTTTGTTCCAGAGTCCCTCCCAAGAGGCCCAGAACTGACGCACCACGAGGCCAGTGTTAGAAAACATCAGAGCAGGATCCAATAAGCTTCACAAGCAGTATATCCAAAAGGAAATCTCAGAAGGCACAAACCCCTGGTGAAGTTAATTCTACTTTGTGTGGTCAGCACCTACACAGCAGCTCACACATTGCATTCAGGGTTGAGCCTCACAGTCGGCCAGCTTGAGGGTCAGTCCCATGTGCAAAGAGGTGACTATAAATCAACACTCAGTCACAACAGAAGGGCCCACATCACCCACACAAGGGACTTCATAGAGCACCCAGTTCAAATGATCAAAGGGAATGTGCCACTAGATCCCACAGGACACCTAATATGTAAGGCCACACTACAAGGAATGAGAGTCATAGCAGATCTACCAAATACACAGAAACAAACACAAAGAGGCAGCCAACATAGGGAGACAAATAAACAGGCTCCAAATGAAAAAACAGGAAGACTCTTCAGAAAAACAGCTAGATAAAATGGAAAGAAGCAATTTATCAGATATGAAGTTCAAAGTAATGGTTATAAGGATGCTCAAAGAACTTTGTGAGAACTGCAATAGCATTAAAGGGGCATAGAAACCATGAAAAAGGATGAGTCATAAGTGAAGAATACAATATCTGACATCAATAATACACTGGAAGGAATAAACAGTAGGTTGGATGTGGCAGAGGATCAAATCAGTGATTTGGAAAACAAGGTAGAAAACTAAACAATCAGAGCAGCAAAAAGAAAAATATTAAAAAGAATGAAGATAGTTTAAAGGACCTTTGGGACAACATGAAGTGTATTAACATTTACATCATAGGAGTAACAGAAGAGAGAGCAAGGGATCAAGAACCTATTTGAAGAAATAATGACCAAAAACTTCTAACCTAGTGTCGGTAGAAGACACACAAGTCCAGGAAGCATAGAGAGTCCCAAACAAGATAAACCCAAAGAGACCCACAAGACACATAATAATTAAAATGCAAAAGTTAAAAGCGAAGAGAGAATCTTAAAAGCTGCAACAGAAAGACAGTTACCTACAAGGGGGCTCCCATTAGACTGTCAGTTGATTTCTCACCAGAAACATTTCAGGCCAAAAGAGATTGGCATGAAATATTCAAAGTGATAAAAAGCAAGAACCTACAACCAAGACTGCTTTACCCAGCAAGGCTATCATTGAAAACTGGGATAGCTGACTGGGAAGCCCAGAGAGCCCAGCTGGGTCTTGCTGTGTCTGTCCCAGTGGGTCGCCCCTTGCCATTGCTGTGCCATGACCATCCAGCAAATAGTCCTCCAGGGCCCAGGGCCATGGGGCTTCTGCCTCGTTGGGGACAAGGACTTCGAGCAGCCTCTTGCCATTTCCCAGGTCACTCCTAGAAGCAAGGCTGCTATAGCTAATTTGTATATTGGAGATACAATCATAGCCATCAATGGGGAAAACACCAGTAATATGACGCACTTGGAAGCTCAGAACAAAATCAAGGGCTGTGTAGACAACACGACTCTCACAGTATCCAGATCTGAAAATAAAGTCTGGTCTCTAGTGACAGAGGAAGAGAAATGTCATCCGTACAAGATGAATTTAGCCCCTGAGCCACAAGAAGTCCAACACATAGGAAGCGCCCACAACCAGAGTGCCATGCCCTTCACTGTCTCGCCTGCCTCCAGCTCTGGCGCCAGGATCATCACAAACCAGTACAACCACCCCTCCGGCCTCTACTCTTCTGAAAACATTTCCAACTTCAACAGTGCCTTGGAGTCAAAGACGATGGCCAGTGGGCCAGAGACAAATGGCAGAGTCTTAGAGCATTTTCAGTCTCCAAGTGGACTGGTTATCGACAAAGAATCTGAAGTTTACAAGATGCTTCAGGAGAAGCAGGAATTAAATGAGCCCCCAAAACAGTCCACTTCATTCCTGGTTTTTCAGGAAATCCTGGAATCTGAGGAGAAAGGGGATCCCAACAAGCCCTCGGGATTTAGGAGTGTTAAGGCTCCGGTCACCAAAGTGGCCGCATCAATTGGAAATGCTCAGAAGCTGCCCATGTGTGACAAATGTGGCACCAGCATTGTTGGTGTGTTTGTGAAGCTGCGGAACCATTACCGCCACCCCGAGTGCTATGTATGCACCGACTGTGGTACAAACCTGAAACAGAAGGGCCATTTCTTTGTGGAAGATCAGATCTACTGTGAAAAGCACACCCGAGAGTGGGTCACCCCACCTGAAGGCTACGACGTGGTCACTGTGTTCCCCAAGTGAACCAGCAGATCTGCGCGGAACCCTCTTCTCCAAGTAGCTCCTGTTGCTACTTATTCTCTCCATGCTCTGGCCCTCTCCTCTCTTGGAAGTTCTTGCTTACTCTGGTTTTATCTCTACTCGTTAAATGTTGTGCGCTCTGCCTTTGCTAACTGACTCGCACTGCTGCGTGATGCCTGCTTTTATAATAAATGGAAGATTGTTTCATTCAGTGTCCCCTTGCCAGCATCGCTGTGTCTTCTCTTCACCTCAGTTCATATCTGCTGCAAATGGACAGCCAAATTTGAACCAAACCAAATTTAGTACGTCTGTCTTCGATTTTGTTTTTACTCAATAAATTTATAGGCTCTAAAGAAAGAAAGAAAGAAAGAAAGAAAGAAAGAAAGAAAGAAAGAAAGAAAGAAAGAAAGAAAGAAAGAAAACTGAAGGAGAAATAAAGAGCTTTCCAGATAAGTAAAAAAGTAAAGGAGATTCTTACCGCAAAACCAGTATTACAAAAAATGTTAAAGGGCTGAATTAAGAATGAGGAAAAGAAGAAAAAAACCCAGGAACATAGTTAAAAGAATAGAATGGCAGTGGGTACGCACCTATCAATAATCACTTTAAATCTAAATAGCTTAAATGTTCCAATCAAAAGACACAGGGTAACTGAATAGATAAGAAAGCAAGATTCATATATATGCTGTCTACAAGAGACCCATTCCAGAACAAAAATATGCACACAGGCTAAACAATGAAATGATGGTGAAGGGGGAGCTCTGTCCCACGGTGTCTCCCAGTGTCGCAGATGAAATGAAAATGCTCAATACAAGATCTGCTTGGAGAGGGAAGGCTGGATAATCTCTCAGAAGAGAAAAGCCTTGAGCAGCTTTCTCCTTGGGCTTTTACTGAGTTTAGCTCATATAGGGATACAAAACATGCATGTAAAGCTCATCAGTCAAAGTTAAACAGTAATGATTAAAGAAAGGAGATATGGTTTCAGGATAACAGTAAAGGGATTGCAAGAATCTGAGTCAGGGTCTGATAGATAGAGTGATGCCCATTCAGCCTTAAAACCTGAGAAAATAAACTCATCCTCTGCTCAGATCCCAAATACCAGTACTCATTAACTTGAGGGCATTCTTAGCAAAGCAGATTTCATAGGATTTAATGCATTCCTTTTCCAATCCTAATTGCCCCCAGGAACTGCCTGATCCAGTTTAGGACCGCACCTGCCTCTAGCATTGTTTCAAGTCTGACTCAGGAGCGGGGAGCAGAGCAGCCAAGAAATAAGACTTCTTTCTGATAGAATGAGAACTCTGGCCATGATAAAGCCAAGGGGTAAGGGTCTTTTCCTCCTTCTCTGTGTCCCCCAAGTCCTTCCCTGATAGCCCCTATGCAACTGTGCCTGTCTTAAGTTGTCCCTGGTATGGAGTGATCTTACCCGTCGTTGACTAACCAGCCATACTCCAAGGCCAGGCATGGTGATGAGAGGGAGGCAGGGACTGCACCTCTGCCAAGGGGACAGGTTTTGTCTCCTAAGTGGCCAATTTCCCAAGGCCTCGTGGCTCAGCTCCAGCCTTGGGGCCCTCTTGCCTGTTGGTGAGGCTACAGTCCCTGAAACCAGGCGGGATGATTCTCAACAGGATGGCCCTGACTGATGTAGCTCAGTTGGTTGGGTATCATTCCACAAAGCAAAACGTTGCTGGTTTGATTGACAGTCAGGGAACATGCTTGGGTTGCAGGTTCAGTCCCCAGTTGAGGCATGTACGAAAGGCAACTGATCGATGTTTCTCTCTTTTATGGATGTTTCTCTCTATCTTCTTCCTCCCTTCCCCTCTCTCTAAAAAAATAAGTAAATAAAAATTTAAAAATTAAATAAAATAAAAAAGAATGAAAAAATTCTTTTGTGCAAAAGGAAAGGAAAAAAGCTGGGGTAGCAATACTTATATCTCACAAAATACACTTTAAAACAAATGCTATAGTAAGAGACTAAGAAAGATAATACATAATGATAAAGGGAACAATTCAACAAGAGAATGTAACCTTTGTAAACATTTATATACCCAACGTAGGAGCACCTAAATATGTAAAGCAAATCTTGATGGAGATAAAAAAAGATTAACAGTAATACAGTCATGGTAGGGGATTTTAACACCCCGTTGACATCAATGGATACATTTTTCAGACAGAAAAATCAACAAAGAAATGGTGGCCTTAAAGAACACACTAGATCAGAAGGATTTAATTGATACCTTTAGACTGTTTCATCCCAAAGTAGCACAGTATACATTCTTTTCAAGTGCACATGGAACATTTTCTAGGATAGACCACATGTTAAAACACAAAACAAGTCTCAGTAAATTTAAGAAGACTTAATCATATCAAGAATATTCTCTAACTTTAGTAGAATGAAGCTAGAAATGAATCACAAGAAAAATAATTGAAAACACACAAAGACACAGAGGCTAAATAACATGTTACTAAACAGTCAATGGATTAACAATGAGATCAAGGAAGAAATCAAAAGATACCTTGAAACAAAGGAAAATGAGAGCACAAAAACTCAAAATCTATGGGACACAGTGAAAGCAGTCCTAAGAGGGAAATTCATAGCATTACAAGCCTACCTTAAGAAACAAACAACAAAAAAACTCAAATAAAAAATTTAACTTTGTACATAAAGAAACTAGAAAAAGAACAATAAACAAGCCCAAAGAGAGTAGAAGGAAGGAAATAATAAAGATCAGAGCTGAAATAAATATAATAAAAAAATTTTTAAAAATACAAAATGGATCCAAAATTTGGTTCTTTGAAAAGATAAACAAAGTTGACAAATCTTTAGCCAGACTCGTAAGACAAAGAGAGGCCATGACTTGTATGGCTCAGTGGGTTGAGAGCCAGCCTATGAACCAAAAGGTTGCTGGTTCGATTTCCAGTCAGAGCACATGCCTGGATTGTGGGCCAGGTCCCCAGCTGGGGGCATGTGAGAGGCAACCAATGAATGTTTCTCTCGCACATCAATGTTTCCCTCGCACATCGATGTTTCTCTCTCACATCGATGTTTCTCTCCTTCCATTTCTCCCTCCCTCCTCTCTCTCTAAGAAATAAAATAAGTCTTTAAAAGAAGAAAAGAAAAAAAAGAGAGAGGACCCATATAAATAAAATCAGAAATGGAAGAGCAGAAGTAGCAACTGACACCAAAGAAATACAAAGGATTTTAAGAAAATATTATGGACAACTATATGCCAAAAAATTGGACAATCTGAACAAAATGGATAAATTTCTAGAAGCATATAATCTTCCAAAACTAAATCAGGAAGAGTCAGAGAATCTGAATAGACAGATTACAACTAGTGAAATTCGAGCAATAATTTTAAAACTCTCAATGAACAAAAATCCTGGGCTGAATGGCTTCACAGGTGAATTTTATCAAACATTTAGAGAAGAACTACCACCTCTCCTTCTCAAACTATTCTCAAAATAATTCAAATGGAGGAACAACTCTCCAGCTCATTTTATGAAGCCAGTATCATCATAATTCCAAAACCAGATAAAGATACTGCAAAAAAGAAAGAAAATTATAGGCCAACATCTCTGATGAATATAGATGCTAAAATCCTCAACAAAATATTAGCAGACCTGATCTAGCAATATATTAAAAAGGTCATAGACCATCATCGAAGGGGATTTATTCTAGGGATGCAAGGTTGGTACAATATCCACAAACCAATTAATGTGATACACCACATAAACAAAAGGAGAGATAAAAATCACATGATCCTATCAATAGATGTAGAAAAAGCATTTGCTAAAATCTACACCATTAATGTTTAAAACACTGAGCAAAATGGAAATAGAAGAAACATACTTTTACATAATAAAGACCATATATGACAAATACACAGCCAACATCATACTCAATGGACAAAAGCTAAGAGCATTTTCTTTAAGATTGGGAACAAGACAGAGATGTTCACTTTCACAACTGTTACTCAACGGAGTACTTGAAGTTCTAGGCACAACAATCAGACAAAAAGAAGAAATAAAAGGCATCCAAATCAGAAAGGAAGAAGTAAAACTGTCATTATTTGCAGATGACATTAATGTGTAGAGAGAACCCTAAAGATTCTACCAAAAAAAGAACTACTAGAATCAATCAATGAATTCAGTAAAATAGAAGGATACAATTTAAATATCTAGAAATCAGTTGCATTTTTGTACACCAATAATGAACTAACAGAAAGGAAAACAAAGAAAACAATCCCATTTACAATTTCTTCAAAAAAATACCTAGGAATAAATTTAACCAAGGATGTAAAGACCAGTACTGGGAAAATTATAAGACATTAAAGAAAGAAATTGAAGAAAATACAAATAAGTGGATGCACATACCATATTCATGGATAGGAAGAATTAACATCATTAAAATGTCTATACTACCCAAAGCAATCTATAGGTTCAATGCAATTCCATTCCAGATACTGATGGCATATTTCAAAGAACTGAAACAAATATTCCAAAAATTTATATGGAACCACAAAAGCCCCCAATTAGCAAAGCAATCTTGAGAAAGAAGAGCAAAGTTTGAGGAATCATACTACCTGATACCAAACTGTACTACAAGACCATGATAATCAAGACAGCATGGTATTTGCATAAAAACAAACATATAGAGCAATATCAAAGTCATATTATATGTTAAATGAAAGATTTTGAATCTGAACCTCAAATCCTTCCTCTGTACCACAGCACCCATTGACATTAACAAACAAAAAATACCCAATTAACTGATGCTGTTGAAAGTCATGGGTGCCAAGTTGTTTTCCTATCCCGTTGTCTAACTAAAAAGCTTTCAGACAGGAGGCAAGGGGCATTTGACAAAATTCATGTTTGCTGACTACAAATAAGATGAATTTTAAAAGGATTATCAGTAAGCATAGACTAAATTATGCTACAGTAACAGGCATAAATCTCAGTGGTTTACAGAAACTCACACCATGTATCATTAATGGATCAGCCAT